TTTGCTTAAGCAAGATATACACCAGGAAACAATGAATGAGAATAAACCCAACTCATGTTACATGAGGCACCAGGGTTTTTTCTCCAAAGAAAACAAAATAGGCACTCAGGAGGCAGAGGTAGAGGCAGGAAGATTGCTGCAAGTTCCAGGTCAGCCTGAGCTACAGTCTGAATCAACACCACCAACAATAATAACAAAAACAAAACAGACAGACAGACACACACACACACACACACACTGGTGAGATGGCTCAGGTGTCCTGAGGAGTGATTCAGAGAATCATTCCCCATAAGTTAATGCTACTCGGGAGAGCTGGGACAGGTGCAACGGACAGAAGAGATTCCACACGTGTATTGTGTTGCAATCAACAATTTATATTGAATGAACAATTCAAGCAATACAGAGTTGCAAACAACAAACACACTTTAGGTGGAGAGTCAGAGTAGGTCTGGACCAGTGGGCCTAGTGCACCAGGTGTCACCAGGTTACCGAAGCTTCCAGAGATCCCTGCTCTCAGGGAGTACCTCCGGGCCTGGGCCCAATGTCCAAGTCCAAAGCCCTCCGTGGAAAAGCTCAGCTGCTCCATCGTGATCCGGTGCACTCTCCCGGCCCCGGTTGACACTGTTCAGGTTCGGTCCCGTGCTGCTTGGTCAGGATCACGTTCTGTTGTGGCTCAGCATCTCAGGATTGATGGGTGATCGGCAAGAGAGTCTCTGCATTCGGGGGCAGAGTCCCGGGCAGGAACATCGGGATGTCACCAGACAGTTGGGTGTCAGTGAGACGTGGAGTCTCTGTGAGCATAGGTGAGCAGGTCTGAAGCTTGTCCTTTTATATGGTTTTTGCTGGTCTAGTTTCAGAGTGCTGACATAAGTGCCAGGTTCTGGTTCTAGTTGATTAGTTCAGCCCATATCACTCTATGCAGGATAAGTAGCTTATCACACAGTTGCATACATCTTACTCTTAGGTTCCTATGGTTGCCCACTAGGTTGCCATGGTTACAAGATATGCATTTGACTTGACCATGACATTTCACTTTAAACAGAGTTCAGCAAGGTTTCCAGAGTCTCAAAGTAACAAGGTATTTACCAGGGGACACACTTGACACCAAGTCTGATGACCTGAGTTCAGTCGCCAAAAGGTAGACGAACCTATTGTACAAGTTGTCCTCTGACCTCCACACATATAAACACACACACACACACACACACACACACACACACACACAC